CCACTCCACCAGCCCTATTGCGAAGGGTTTTTTGAGATAGGGTCTCACGAACTATTTGGGCTGGCTTGGAATCGCGATCCTCCTAATCTCTCCCTCCTGAGTAGCTAGGGTTACAGGCATGAAGTACCTGGCTTGCATTTGGACTTTTTAGACTAATACAGAGGAAAAAAATGTTGACATAAGTAATTCATACTCACTGTTTTTGTTTGTTTGCATGGTTTTTATGGTGCTGGAGACCTAGGCCTTCACACCTGGAAGGCAAATCGTAGCACTGAGCTACTCCCCCAGCTCCAATAGTCAGTGTTTTGTTTTGTTTTGTGTTTTTGTAAAGTACATCATACAGAAGACTCTTTACTCCCATTTCCTGCCTAGGGAGCAGGAAATGGTTCTCCCTTCCCCAGTTTATCCTATCATACTAAAATAAGTTCTTGATTAGAAAAACAAAAACAACAGCAATGGTAATTTCATCACCCAAGGCAACACTGTTAATACTGGTTGTAGGTGTGTATTATTTCAAACATTTTTCCTGTGTGCATATATTTTACCAAAACAAGAATCCTGATGTTTCCTTAGTTTAATAAAATATACCAGGCAATAAATCTATGTGGAGATGTTTCTACATCATCAGTTTTGATTGCTCCTTTGCATTCAGAAATTTAGTTTTAAAGGATTTGAGTGTCTTAAAGCTGTGTTCTGAAGTCTTGTGACACTGCCAATATTTTGATAGATGGTGGTATGAGCTAGTGAGCTGGGAATTATTTTAATCTTCTACTCTGTGCTTGCATCTAAATATCACTTCCCCTCTGAGGGGTCCAGCTGTTCTTGTTCAAGAGCAGTGTTCAGCTGTTCTTCTAGGTAGCTCTACTGCAGCTTCTCTGAAATTTGAAGACCCAGAGTTGGAATAGAAGAAAAAAGAGGGAGTGTCTTATTTTGCTTCCACAATGAGTGTGCCTGGTTGTACAGGTGAAAAATTCTTAGAATTATGTCCAAACAAGAGTATGCAAGGTTTTTGTTTTTGAGCCAGGTCTCACTGTATCGTCCAGACTGACCTGGAAACCATGACCTCCCAAGTTTTGGGGTTACATGCACCACCACATCCGTCTTGGAAGTTAATATTGGTTTTTTTTTTTTTTTTTTTTTGGTGGGACTGGAGTTTGAACTCAGGGCTTTGCATTTGCAAAGCAGGTGCTCTACTGCTTCAGCCACATCTCTCGTCCATTTTGGCCTGGTTATTTTGAAGGTGGAGTCTGGCAAACTATTCGCCTGTGCTGCCCTCCCAACTGTGATCCTCCAGATCTTAGCCTTCCAGGTAGCTAGGAGTTAGGATTATAGGCGTGAGCCACAGGTACCTGGCTAACTTTACTTTACTTTTTTTTCTCTCCATTATGAGGTTTGAGCTCAGGGCCTACACCTTGAGTCACTCCACAAGCCCTTTTTTGTGATGGGTTGTTTTCAAGATAGGGTCTTTCGAACTATTTGCCTGGGCTAGCTTCAAACTGTGATCCTCCTGATCTCTGCCTCCTGAGTAGCTGGGATTACAGGCGTGACCACCAGCACCCACCTTGTACTGACTCTTTATGATAAAGCTGTGTTTAGCAAACATGTATTGTGACTCTGTGTGTAGCAGTATTTCAAACAAAATCTTGAAGTCGGACAATGAGAGTGGAAATCAGTGGGGCTCATTTGGGACTTTGTAGGAGCTGAGTCCACAGCTACAAGTGCTAAACAAATGGAGAGTGGCAGGTCAGTTGTGGTTACATACGGGATTCAAGTCTGAGCTTTAGAAAAGATGCCAATGCCGAGAGAGACAACAGGCTCAAGAATAAGTATGTAGAGGCTGGGGTGTGGGTCAGTGGTAGAGCACATGCTTAGCGTGCAAGGGGCCGTGGTTCAGTCTTCAACGTTCCCCTCCCACCACACACGCAAATTTACTAAGGACATCTTACTCATCGTTGTTTCTCATTCATTGGATTGAATGGGTTCTGTTTTAGATGTGTTAATTTTGGGGGGTGGGTCCCACCCTTGTGAGTGAATGTAGATAGGTCAGGAATTGAGAGAAAAGTTGGGGTCTGACTAGGTTTCTTCTCCTTTTCTGGGCGGTGGGGGCAGTGCCAGGTATCTAACCCAGGGCCTTTAGCATGTTGGCACGTGCTTTACCACTGAACTATAGTCCTAGCTCTTTTTATTTTATTATTTTGGTGGCACTGGGATTGGAATGCAGGGCCTCACACTTGCTACACGGGCACTCTACCACTTGAGCCACTCCACCACCCTACCCTTGCTCTTTTTAAACAAGCTTTATAAAGCCACAGTTCACAGCCAGGTGTCGGTGGCTCATGCCTATAATCCCAGTTACTTGGGAGGCTGAGATCAGCAGGATTGTAGTCTGATGTCATGTCAACCAATAAAAGCTGGGTGTGATGGCGCACACCTGTCATTCCCGGCTATAGTGCAGAGGTGTAAAATAGGAGAATTGTAGAACAGGCCAGCCTGGGCAGAAAGCAAGACCCTGTCTTCAAACTAACCAGAGCAAAAAGGGCTGGAGGCATGGCTCAAGTGGTAGAGAGCATCTGCCTAGCAAGTAAAAAAACAAACAGACCCATACAATTCCCATGAGCTGGGGGTGTCACTCAATGGCAGAACTCTTGCATACCATACACAAGGCCCCAGGTTTGGGTCTCAGCACTACATATGTGATAGAATAATTTTCCAATTTCAATGTAAAAACTAGTTTTTTTATTTGTTGTTGTTTTTTTAATGGGACTGGGGCTTGAACCTGGGGCTTCATGCTTATAAAGCAGGTGCTGCAGTCCATTTTGCTCTCATTATTTTGGAGCTGGGATCTCAAAGACTGTTTGCCTGGGCTGGCCTGGAACCATGGTGATCCTCCTGATCTCAACCTCCCTAGTAGCTAGGGTTGCAGGCATGAGCCAGCTATGCTGTACCACCAGTGGTCCTTTGGTTAGTCAGAGTACTATAGTCATCACTATAGTCAATCTTAGAATACTTTTATTATTCCCGAAAGAAATCCTGTGTCTTTTAGCTGCTACCTCTGTTCTCCAACACTCTCAACCCTAAGCAAGTACTAATCTACTTTGACTCCATAATTTGCCTGTTCTTGACATTTCATATAAATAGAATCTTCTGTGGCTCTGTGAGATTGGCCTCTCACATAGCATAGTGTTTCCAAGCTTCGTCCATGTTATAACCTGCCTTAATACTTCATTCCTTTTTATGGCTGAATAATAACCGTTGTACGGCTATACCATATTTAGTTTGTCCTCTTACCGGTTCATAGACATTTGGACTGTTTCTACTGTTTGAACATTGTTTGTGTACATGGTTTTTGTGGATATAATTTTTTTGTGTAGATACCTATGAGTAGAATCGCTGAGTCATGTGGTAGCTGTTTAAAGGAACAATCTTTTGGGTTTATTGTGTTTTTTACAGTGTTAGGGATTGAACCCATGGCCTTGCACATGCTAGGCATCTATAATTGAGCCATCCTCCCCTGCCCAAAGGGATAGTTTTGAGTTATCCTCATAGCCAAGAGGCTGCAAGAAAAGATGGGGCCATCAAGAAAATGAAACCTAAGCAGGGAGGTGTTAACACCCAAAACCTCAGTGGTGAGCACAAGATGGCAGAGGCCCAAGAAGCTCATCTTTATCTATAAACTTGCTTTTCTTTTGGAGACAGAGCCTTGCTTTGTATCGCAGGCTGGTCTTTGAAGTTGGATCTTCCTGCCTAAGCCTCCTGAGGGCTGAGATTACAAGTATACACTACCACACCCAGCTTCTTGCTAAATTTTTTGGATTCAAGTTGTTTGTTTGTTTGTTTTTTGGTGGTACTGGGTTTTGAACTCAGGGCCTCATGCTTGCTAGGCAGGTGCTCTACCACTTGAGCCAGTCTGCCAGCTTTTTTTTTTTTTTTTTTTTAAATCCTCACCCTCCTATGTTACATAGACTTTATGGTTTCCTGAAATTTGTAATGTTTAAGTTGGTGCTGGACTGGGGGTGTGGCAGAGGCCTTGTCTAGCAAGCATAAGGCCCAGTACCACACACATACAAAATTAATATTGTATTTTTATATCCTTTTACCTTTGGGAAGAGTTCCTTAGAACCTCTCTCACCTCTTGCTTAAGATTAAGGAGAGTGTCAGAAAATGAAAGTGTGTCTTATTTGGTTAACCAGTTTCTGCCTCAGTCAGGTCAAAGTGAACTTTTTCTTTTCTTTCTTTTTTTTTTAATTCAACGTGAATTTCATTGTTAAAAAATTTATGCTTTTTGGACTAAAATGGGAAAACTGCAGGCCAGGAAGAAACCCTGGTCCTGAGTATGTGTGTATTTTTTTGCTATTTTTATGGTATAGTACTATGACTTACTTTTATATAAGCATTTCAGCAAAATAACCTGTATTTGTAGCACCCAATGCAAGAAATGAAGTGTTACTAACACAGTGGAAGTCCTTTGGATATCCCTCCTTCGTCTCTGGAATATTTTAGGCAGGTCACTTTTAACCTCCTCAGGTGTGGTGTAAGGTCTGTAAGGGGCTGGAAGAGTGGGTCAAGTGGTAGAGTACCTGCCTAGCAAGCACGAGGCCTTGAATTCAAACTGCAGTACAAACAAACCAACCAAAAAAGAAGTTGAAAGTCTACAACTAGACAATGACAGCTGTCCTATTTAGTTCTCGGGGTTAGTCTGTGAATTAATGAGTGGCAGCTGGGAAAGCACTTGGAAAGTCGGAAGGTGCCAGTTACAATCAGGAAGGACTCTGTGAGGAGCAGGATTAGCAGTATCTGCTGCTAGCCTGGTGGACACATCTAACGTAGTTGGTGAGTAGTAATGGAATGGAATGCCATTTTCCCTGGAGAGATAAATACATCCTTCTTCAGGGCCCCTCAGTATATATTCATTCAACAAATACGTCCTGAGTAAATAGGTGCCAGTCACCTGTTCTTGGGCAGTGGGGGTGTATCAGCAAACAAAACGGGTAAGGTTCATGCCCGGAAACCAATTAGAAAACCGTCTTTATTTTCCAGTTTATGTCAGATTTGCCCTTGGATGCCTAAGCATGTCTTATTCTCATTCGTGATTGCTGCTCCTTCGATTTTAAATTGAGAATTATTGAGAAGGCAGTATTTGAATTGAGATTAGACACATGCCTTTAAAGGTTAAGATAAGTATTTTTGCACAAATCCATAGGAGAAATTTTTGGTCCCCTCAATGCTGGCATTTGAAGTAGAATTTGTTTTTCTTGTTTGAGCTGATGTGAACTGAGACAGCTTTCTTCTACACTGTCAAGGTTTTAAACTTGTATCCCTTCCTTTGATTTGTGTCAGGGTGAACCGTTTGATGTAAAAGACTTGACTCCATAATCTTCAACTGCCCTAATGCTGTCATCTGGAGTAGAGACTCAGCCAGTTCCTCTTGATTCCTCCATGTCTGCTGTGGTACAGGAATTATACTCTGAACTCCCAGTGAGTGTCTCCAGAGAACTTCTTGCTGACCCTGAGCCACATGTGATTCCAGATGTAAAACCTGGAGCCCCAAGCTCTCTTAAAAGGCAGAGTAGGACATTGCCTGTGGAACTGCAGAGGACTCATGCAGAAAGTTGTGAAGAAGCCCCTGAGACCTTGGACCATGGGGGCAAGCCAGGGTGGTGTGGGCTAGTGGACTGCATGGCAGGAGGTTCTGTGGCTTCTGAGATCTTGGATAGGGACAAGAAAATCAAGAGCATGGAACTAAAGGTCTTCAGAGATCCAGGGGATCAGGCGGAAGCTATCAGAGACCCCTGTGAGGGAGCAAAGGAAGACCCATGTCAACATTCCACAGCCGCTGAAGACAAGGTCAGCTCAAGTCAGGTAAGAAATGAGAGTTAACTGAGATGAGCTGAGTGTGGAGGACAGGTTTGCAGAGTACTTCTCATGGCAAAATACACATGACCACAGGTAGCTTGTGACTTACTTTGAAATACTTCCAAAATGTTGATTCTGATATTATCATTTGGTGATCTTTTAAAGCATTTTTTGTCGCATTAGATATTTGAAGGGAGGAAGTGCTTATCTAGTTCAAAACATAGTGCCATAGTAAGGAATGGTGGGTCTCTGAAAATCATGATTTCTCAGGTCTTCTACATCTGATGTTAAGAAGTTCTTTGTGTATGTTAAATTCATTGTGTATTAATTAAGGAGAGCCAGTTATTTATAGTGAATAGACAAGGAAAAGTGGAATCATTTTACAGGAATGGTCACATGGCTGGTCAGTACGTCTTCTCCTGTACGCAAGACTACAAGGAAAATTGCATTTCCTTCTGCAAGCTTGAATCCAAAGTAAGAGTGGTTAGCTAGGTGAGGCTAATGTTAGTGAGCTATAGTAGCCTCATGGCTCCAGATCCCTAAAGGAATATAAATGTGAGGTAGAAAACTTATTCTCTCCTCTCGATGGTGCTTAGACAAGTGGCTAGCAAAACTTTCTGTGCAGGGCCTTGGAGTAAATATTTTAGGCTTTACGGGCCATATGGTCTCTGTTGCAACTCCACAGTTCCGATGCAGCATAAAAGCAGGCAGAGACGGGACATCAATGAATGCATGTGGCCGTATCCCAGTGGAACTTCTTTTTTTGCAGGTAGGGTCTTGCTGTGTTACCCTGGGCTGACTGATAAAACCTTGCTAAAGAGAAATCTGATAACACTTAACAAAACTATATATATCTTGACCTGTTGACCCAGCACTCTCATTTCTAGTGACCTACTCTGAAGATACTCTTGCAACAGTATGAAAACACATACACATGAGGCTGTTCTTTAGTTTTTAATTTCAAAATATTGAAAATAGCCTCAGTGTGTCCGTATCTAGGAGAAGGGTTGAGTAAACTAGGGTATGTGGTTTGTCCATACGTGGAGTACTATGCAGCTATAGCAAAGAGAGAGGAGGATCTCCATGAACTGATTTGGAGTGATTTCTAGGTGTGTCAGGGGTCCCCAAGACCATCTCTAGGTTTTATGATTCACTAAAACTTAGCACTTTTAAAATTTTTTATTTATTTATTTATTTTTGGTGAGATTGGAGTTTGAACTCAAGCCTTTGAGGTTGCAAAGCAGGTGCTCTACCATTTGAGCCACATCTCCAAGTCCATTTTGCTCTGGTTATTTTAGAGATTGGGGGGGGCGGAGGCGGGGCTTGAGAACTGTTTGCCCAGACTGACCTCCAGCCTCAATCCTCCTGATCTCAGCCTCCCAAGTAACTATGATTACAGATGTAAGCCATCAGCACCCAGCAGGTCATATAACATTTAGTCATATAGCTAAGATTTATCACAATGAGAGGATACAAAGATGATGAACAAAAGAAGGACAGAGAAGTCCAGGTGAAGTCAAGTCCAAGTTTCCAAGAACCCTCTGCTAATGGAGGCACATACCCTTAACCTCCTCCAGGAACAAACTGGGACAGAAATGTAAACTGTTGACTACCATGGAAGCTTGTTAGAGACTCAATACCCGGTGTTTATTCTGGGGGCTAGTCGCATGGGCATAGCCCCTCTGCCTGGCATGTGCCGCAATTCCAGACTTCCAGAAGGAAAGCAGGTGTTTAGCTTAAACCACATTATTGTACAGACGCGGCAAAGCACTCTTATCACTTGGGGAAGGGTGGAATCTAGTTCTCAGGCGCTAGCCAAGGCCAATCTTGCAAGTAAACCTTTCTAAGGATAGCAGCCAGACCTGTTATGGTGACTCTTTTCTACAAACGAGGATATACTGTTAAGTGAAATAAATGGGAAGTGCAGATAAGTACCTATACTGTCCTCCCTTTCTTGCAAGAAAGAAGGGAAATACGCATGGATCCAAGTATCTTCTCGTTAGTGTACACATGGGACTGGCAAATCTGGAACCGATGAGTTATTATCTGTAGGGAGTGGGTTGGGAGCAGGGTGGAAAGAATGAGGCAATGGGAACAGAACACAAGGAATGGAGGAAGCAATGCTTCTGTAAGTACACTTTTTGTACGGTTCTGATTGTGAAGGACAGCCACTTAGGCTTTGAGGTTTCTGTTACATGAATTGAATGAATTTAACATAGTCAGGTTGGCTTGGTGGTTTCCCAGTTCAGAGGGAGAGAAATGTACCAAAACTTAGAAATTGTGGTTCATACTTTACTATGTCTTGGGGTCTGGTGAAACCTAAAGTGGTTTTGTTAAACATGCCAGGCTTTTGTGTGCGTGTGTGTGTTGCTAGAAATTGAATCCTCTCTTGTTAGACATGCACTTTACCACGGAGCTGGCAGTGTACTGCCAGCCTTTGTTTTATTGTTCTTGGTGATGGTGGTAGTACAAGGGATCAAACCCAGGTCCTCACACATGGCAAGGTGAGCACTCTACCACTGAGGTACATCACTAACCCTACTCTGAGCCTTTAAAAATGCATTTTCTTAGGGCTGGGATGTAACTCAGTGGTAGAGAGCTTCCCTAGCATGTGCAAGACCCTGGGTTCCATTACCAGAACTAAATGGAAAAAAAAAAAAAAAGGAAAGACAGAAATGCATTTTTTTACTCATTTAATCTCTTAAATTATTATGAGTTGTTGTTAAAAGAAAAACAACAAAACGTGTTTTTTTTATGAAGCAAATTTAGATGTTGGCCTTTTTCATTGTGGTAAAATACTCATAAAATACCCATTTAAAGTGCACAGTTTAGTGGTGCTGAGTGCATTCACATGTGTAACCATCTCCATTGTCCATGTCTGGAATGTCCTTCATCATCCCAAACTGAAATGTTACCCACTGAAGATCAGCTTAGTCTAGTTGCTTCATTGTACCCCTGCCAGGCACCATTCTACTTTCCACCTGTGAATTTGACTTACTCTGTGTTCTCATATAAGTGCAGTATTTGTCCTTTTGTGACAGGTTGTAACATTTCAAAACTCTGCTTAAGTCATCAGGTCTGGGGTTGTGGCTCAAGTTGTAGAGCACTGCCTAGCAAGCACAGGCCCTGCGCTCAAATGCCAGTACTGTCTTTGTGTGTGTGTGTGTGTTTTCTTTTCTGGTTCAGGGGAGTAGCCTGGTGATAGAGCACTTGCCTTAACATGCTTGAGGCTCTGGATTCCATCCTCCTTACCACAAAAAAATTTAAGTTAAGTGTTTCATTCATGATATAAACATTTCAGTTATTAAAAGGTAACCTGACCAAAAAAAAAAAAATCCCTTCCTGCCTAATAATTGTGTCAAAAATGTATTTTAAAAGGTATTAAAAACTTAAGTAATTATTTTCTTTGATCACAGCTACCTCATTATCGGGAAGGGAGATGAAAGGCAAAAAAAAAGAAAAGAGAAGTGTCTAAGAACAGGTGCAGAGGAAGGGACAGCTGCAGGACCCAAGCTGAATTGTGAAAGAACATATTCAGTTCTTGTAGAAGAAAGGCTGAAAACGATGTCCTTGTCAGGATGTGGAAAAGATGGGTCTCACTTAACGAATTGTGCACCAAAGATAAAAGACATGACTGTGACATTCTACATGGGTGATCTAGCATCGAAATTCTATCATGCTTGGTGTTTTTGTTTTTTTGTTGTTGCTTAGATGTAAGTTGCAGAGTGTTAACTTTATATATTTTGGGAGAATTTTGTTTTGCTTTTTTTCCCATGATGGTAGATCTGCCTGGGTTAAATGTGTGGTAAAAGCTTTGGTTTCAGAATACACAGACATAGAAAAAGTTACTGTTTTTTAGCTGTAACATAAGAAGACAAAGTATACATTTTTTTAGAACAGGTACTATATTTGAAGATGTAAAGACAGGACATTAAGTAAGGAAGTACAATGACTGTTGATTACTTCAAGCTTCTGGAAAAACTTTCTTTCTTTCTTTCTTTCTTTCTTTCTTTCTTTAGTTTTGGGTGGCACTGGCCTGAACTCAGGGCCTCACACTCGCTAGGCAGGCACTCTTATCATTTGAGCCACTCCACCAGCCTCGGCAAACTTATTTTTAATGGCATATTCTATAAGAGGCCTGTCTTGTACTGCTTGTGTGAATTTATTTAAATGAAAGGTTGTTGCACTGAGTTTTCATTAAGTTTACTGTGCACTTCCAACCCTGGGAGTCTGTGATCCTAAGGAAATTTCCAGTAGTATACAGGAGCTTGCTGTTTACCTAGAAGGATATTTTTTGTTGGAAAAGATTCAATTTTCAGTGATTTTTAAGGAGAAAAATCTTAAATTCATGGCTCAGTAGTAAAATTGGTGTTCATAAGCTGTTGTGTGGGTCTTTGGGGCCCTGTCGTCCCTACAAGGATGGTTTGCCCATGGTTCTCATTTCACAGGAAGGTAAGTAAGGACCCAGAGCATGTGTGAGACTTAAAGGTAGAATTTTTCTCTTAATTACCTCACCAGTTCATTGTTATTAAATGCCTTAACCCAGCTGACATGATTGGTTCCTTATTTAAATTTACCAGTTGTTTCTCTGAGTGGACATATGGAGGAAAATTCCTTTTAAAGCAGTACAAAGGTGATTTAAAGTTGCTGTTTTACATTTGCTTCTTTGTAGATAGGAGAGTGTAGGAAGCGCCATCTGGAGATGAAAACATATTTCTTTCATTTCAGAGTGTTCAGCAGTGAAAGTCATTCTGGCTATGGAGTGTTTCTTCTGCTCCACATTTGGCCCTACATTTGCATAATTCAGTGTGTTTATAGGCAGTCCCATTTGTAGATGTTTCTTTTCTTCTTTTTTTGGTGGCATTGGGGTTTGAATTCTGCTTCATACTAGCTAGGCATACTCTGTACCACTTGAGCCACTCTGTCAGCCTAGGTGGGTTTTTGTTTGTTTGTTTGTTTGTTTGCAATACTGGGGCTTGAACTCAGGCCTTCACCTTGAGCCACTCCACCAGCCCTATTTTTGTGAAGGGTTTTTCAAGATAGAGTCTCTCGAACTATTTGCCAGGGCAGGCTTCAAACTGTGGTCCTTCTGATCTCTACTCCTGAGTACCTAGAATTATAGGTGTGAACCACCAGAGCCCAGCAGGCCTAGGTGTTTCTTAAACACTAGATTTCCTCACTGATCTTTTTCTTCCTGTAGCTTAGGAAGCACAGGTTTGAAGATACTCAGAGAGATCTGGTTACAAACAAGGCTCTCAGAGACACACCAGGTCCCGAGGAAACTGAAAACCACCTTGCTTACAGGAGCTGAAGGGCCCAATGTGTATTCATTTCCCTCCAGGTGTTCATGTGTTTTCCTCTGTACACTCATCTCAAAGGAGTGAATCAGAGAATTGCATCATTTCTAGAACATAGTCAATTTTTAATGGGAAATAAGACCATAGATGAACAGGAAGAAGGGTTTTCAAGACCCACTTTATTGTTTTTGGTTTTGGTGGTGCTGGGGTTGAACTCAGGGCCTCACTCTTGCTAGGCAGCACTCTACCACTTGAGCCACTCTGCCAGGCCTCAAGACCCACTTTAAGTCTCTCAAAACTTTGGAGAAGTTTCATAAATTGATTTGCTTCTTATACAATGGGGAGGTAGAATGAGGGATATACAACGCAAGAGAAATTGGTTGGCTGTCAATTTAAGAAGCAGATTGCACTATTACTGTATTTCTCATATGGTTTATGACTGCTGAAAACTAGCAATTCCCTCATTTGATGTTGAAGAGGAATCTTTCTGGACACTTACCTTACACATTGATTCATTCAAGACAGTCTTGCAGGAAATACTACACTGATGATCAGATGTGGAGCTCTAAC